GGCCCTGTGCTGCTGAGCTATATCCCCAGCCCCTGGGTTGTGTTGACATGGTTTTAGGACTGGACAGAAGGGCGTGGAGCGAAGCTTTAGCTCTGAAATCAGTGAGTGAGGCATGCTAAATCCGTGCTGCTTCCATCCCCAGGGCACCCTTTTGTGAACAACAGGAGCTACTTTTTCTTTTTTGAGACAGGGCCTTGCTATGCACTTCAGGCCGGCCTTGAGCTCACTCTGTAGCCCAGGCTGGTCTTGAACTCACAATGATCCTCCTGTCTCAGCCTCCTGAGTGCTGGGATTACAGGCGTGTGCCACCACGCCTGGCAACATGAGCTACTTGAGATGGAGACACCATATTATTGATGTTAGCTCACCTTAAAAAGTGTCCCCATCTGCCATGGAGAGGATATGGTGTCCTGCCAGGGTCATTCCTACAGCTTCCTTTGCGGGGTGTGGCCTTGAATTTGAGGAGAGGGAATCAGGGGCCTTCTAGACCATGGCTGAGGTTATGTATGTATCCCATGGGTTTATAGATTTATCTTGGGTCAGTTTTGGCTGGATAGTTAGAGCAGTCACCCAGACTTTTCCCACCACGGGTCTTGTCTCTCAGGGCATCATATTCGAGTCATAAGTCATAGGCCAGGACCTCATTTAAGGGTCCTTGAGCTGGATCTAAGCAGCAGCTACTACCTTTTTTTTTGTTGTTTGTTTGAGACAAGGGTTTCTCTATGTAGCCCAGGTTGGCTTCAAACTCATGGCGATCCTCCTGCCTCAGCCTCCTGAGTGCTGGGATTACAGGCGTGCACCACCACGCCCGGCCACCGGCTAGTTGCTTCTTCCTCCAAATCTTCTTCCCATCAACCTGCAAGTTCACTGTGGCCTTCATTCCCCTGAGACTGGCTGAGAAGGAAAGAGAGGAAACCTACACTTGGAAAGAAGATTGCTTTGTACTTTATTTACAAGAGAATGTAAGAAAAAGTAAGTTATTAACAATAATAAATAACTGGGGCAGGGGAACGATACAGTACAGCCATAAAATGACACAGAAGTATGGCGGATGTGAGGGTCAACTCGCGCTCGCTCAGCTCGCCCAGCTCCCGCCTGTAACACCGGGCGTTCCGACACTTGGTCCTTTGGCAGTGGCAGTGGTGTTGGGACTCATTTAACCAATCACGATCCCAGCTTGAAACGTAAGCGCTACAAATTACACTTGAAGCTACACAGCAATGACAGAGGGATAAGATCAGCTCAGAGAACCTCTTGTCTTCCTGGCGCTAGAGAAACTGCAGAGAGACCGGCAATTCAACAGGCTGGACTTTACTTAAAAGCAGAACCCCGAAGCATCTGTTCACTTTGTAACAACATGACAGTTAATAAGGGCATCTGAAAAGCTCTCAGCAGACTCCTATTCTGCTGTTGCATTACCTCCTACAAAGCTCAGTTACATTTCAATGCAAACAGATTGTTCCGGCGGAGGAACACGGAAGAACCCACCGTGTTCCGCGCCAGCCTGCAGCACCGCTCTGCGCCACGCTGCCTTTTCAGCAAGAGTGAACAGTGGAAGGTAGTTTATTTATGATCAAGTCACAGTCACTGCACAAGTTTTTTTTCTTAACTTTTTAACAGCTACGGCTCAGATGGCAGCTTGCTACCGAGCCCGCTGAGTCAGGTGATCAGAAGTACTAAAACCACTTAGACAGGTCTTCTCTGGTGGCTTATCTGATGATACAGTTTATGTAGAGCCCATGATACCGTGGCCCTGCTCAAAAATAAAATTCCTACTGACCTGCGCCAGCCAGTGACCTATTCCTTTGTTGTCTCCGAGCCATGGAGACCTACTAAAGAAAGTAGAATTATTTTTTTATTTTGCTATGCTGAGGATCAAACCCAGGGCACATGTCAGGCAAGCACTCTACCCCTGACACAGTAGGCTGCATCCCCAGCCTAGAAAGAAAGTGCAATTTAGAAATATGAATAAACACATTTATCCTGAAACTTTCACTGAAAAATGATTCATGAAGATGTGTTATTGATTTTTTTTTTTTTTTGGTACCAGGAATCGAACTCAGGACCTTGCGCTTGCCAGGTAGGCGCTTGTGCCGCTGAGCTATATCCCCAGCCCCAACAAGATGTGTCAGAATCTAGTTTCTCAGTTCACTGTTTATTACGGTGCCTTGAAATAAAACCACATCATTGCTTTCGAGAGCACTGTTGGGCTTTAAAGTGTCTTCACTCCATATCCTCAACTACGCTACTTACTGTCACAGCTCAAACCATGGCTGATACATACCTCTAAATAAATGAAAACTACTTTCCCACATATAGGTGCAAAACCATAACAGAAGGGCTCATAAATTAGCTCATCAGTAAACTCATATTGTTTCTGTTCTAACGGTAGCAACTAAAAATGTCACACTTCTTTCCTTGTTATCTTTTTTCCTTGCCTTTATTTTACTATAGCTCAAAAATGAAATGAAAATGATCTTCACGGGTGATTTCTGACAAAGTTTATGCAGTAGAAACACTAGGACTTTCTTATCCCGGGAAAGCACAGCCAAAGCAAGAATGCTATACTACAGCCAACAAAAGCACAGGGACATCGCATATTTGAAATCCTCCCGGGTGGCGAAGCTTCCAATCATTTTGAAAGCTTCCGCGAACATCATACATGGAGAGGGACAGACATATGTGTTAGCCTAAGGATTACCTATTTTAATTTGGCTACCAGACACTTACACCCGGCAGTGTGTGATCACTACACTATATTTATATATATACAGATATAATACAATTTTGGTGAACAAAGCCGAAGTTTTCCACATTGCAGACAGAGGCACTGCGTTAAGGAGTCTAGTTTTCCTCAAACATGCTTAGCAAATTCAAGTTTCTGCTTTTTTTTTTTTTTTTTTTAAATTTCCATCATGCAGCCATTTGAGTTTCCATCCTTATAAGAATTATTAATGTTATAGCTACACATTCATCGCAGGTTTGCGTCCCACAGTCATAAAGTCATGGAAGGAGAAAGTGAAATGATAGCTGGAAACCAAGATTTATAAGATACTTGAAGTTGTTTATGCCTTGTGAGGACTCTTGATTAAATATTCAAAGCAACTGAAGGAATACCTGTGCCCCGCTCCCCGGAATGCCATGAACCACAAGTAGACAGAAAAACTAGACATACTTTAAGAGCACATGTTAGTTGGTCAGCAGTCACACTATCGTGGGTAACTTTGCAGTTGATGTCCGTGGGATTATACTGCCTACAAAAGAAATAAAACTCACAAAAGGAAATCAGAAACTTCCTTTCTGAAACATAGCGATCGTTGACCTTGACAGCAGAAGCTACTTTATGAAAAAGGAAAATAGCAATGGTATTCACGGAAAACTAGGAGCCAGATAGCTTAACAAGCTGCACCAGATAAATTTGTTCTACGTGAAAGTAACTATCCCACCCCTACCCTGATTTCAGCTTGCACATGGTAAGCAATTACATACACTATTCTTCTGAAAGAATTTTGCTTTCTAAAGCTGAACATTCTCATGAAAAGTTCTAGTGCGTGGAGAGGGAGCCTTTGAGAAGTTCAAGGGGGTTGATAAAGGATTAAATTTTCTTGCAAGCAAAATTCATGCTTCCATACCATGCAAAAAAGGCATCTCACTCCGGTGCTACCACCCTTAAGTAAAAGGCGTCTGGTTGACCTAAGCTATGTGCAACCGGTTTCCTTTGAGTACAGGGTCCATTTGCTTTGAGAGCTAAATGTCAACTTGTAGATAAACAGATGATCGAGACACTCGGAACACTTTGGTGCTGGGCTCCTGGGGCCAGCGCCCGCACCTTGGAGGGTATTTCGACCTGAAGGACTACACAGAGTGCGAAGCACTGGGCGGGGGCAGGCAGGGCCCGAGGGCCGAGAGGCTGAGGGCCGGGGAATATGCTCCTCGGTTTGTTTGGTTTCCTTTGGAATCTGTGTTTCGGGAAGGTCCATTTCCTGAGGTTGGAGGTTATGGCCAGAAAGGTGCCGGTTATCTTGTTCTGCTCCTCTCTCGGAGGGCGGTGTCGGTACTGAGATTCTGCTCGCTCTCCCTTCTGTGTTTAAAGGCAGTGAGGCGCACATGGTGATCTTCCCTTCACCTTGAAAAAGGATGTTCCTTCCTGTCAACCTTGGTTCTAGTCTTGCATTCCCACAACTTGCAGAAATGAAAGCGAGACAGAGGGACATTTGTTATTAATACCACCCCCCCCCAAACAGGAGTCAGCAGTTCTTCTGTTTCCCCTCCCACATGGCAGTATTTACTTGATTTCCATAATATTCCCATTTTTTTTGTTTGTTTTTGAGACAGGGTCTTGCTATGTAGCCCAGGCTGGCCTCAAACTCACAGCGATCCTCCTGCCTCAGCCTCCCAAGTGCAGGGATTACAGGCGTGCACCACCATGCCCAGCTCCAATATTTCAATTTCTTTCTTTCTTTTTTTGGTGTGTGAAATGCCGGGAATTGAACCCAGGGCCTTGAACACTCTACACAAGTGCTCTACCACTGAGCTACAACCCCAGCCCCCCGTGACTTGCATTTCAAGAAAGCAGCAACAGAACGGCAGTCTTCTCTGTGGTCTGGGGCGGGCAGTTCATTCCAGGGAAGTCTAGACGTTACTAAGAGTAAGACCAGGAGGGGACTGGAGATAACTTTCCTTCTCAAGGTTCACTCGCCAGATATTCTGACAGTGGTAAAGCCCAGGGAGCTCACTCCACCCTTGAACTTCTTCAAAAGCGCATAGTCAGTGAACGCTAGTCAGTTAACTGCAAATTCTGAGAAATCTTAAAGGATGATGGAAACTGGTCAGTTCAGGTTTGCTGTACCTGCGGAGCACGGAGATGTTTGTCTCACCCGGGCCTCTTGGTTCCTAAACTAAGTCGTCCTACATCAATCAGTTATGGTCAGTCACCCCTGCAATTCTTGAAGATTTCTGAGGCCACCAGGGCACAAAGGGGGAGGCTATTAAAAGACAGATACAAGTGGAATCTTTATTAAATTCTGTGAAAGGTATAAATGTTATTATTAATTGCACTTGGAGCCTGTATAGATTGATAATTAAAATTTTCAAAAATTTAAAGAGTTAAGTAGGCCCCAAATCCTGAGTCAGACTAACCAAAATAGGAATCTCAGTAACCACTGGTATTCAAGTATTGGTGGTCAGCAGTTCAAAATCGAACAATTAGGTATGTGACGCCTGAGAGTGTTTTTTGAGAATTTCAGGTTTGATGGGAGGAAGGTGCCTTCACCATTTTACCGGGTGCAAAGTGATGCAAAGTGGTACAAACTTTCCTAGATCTACCCTTGAAGTCCATGCCAACCTCAACAAATGCCCGAGGACAGGGCTTGCTCCCTGCTCGCAGTGGTGGCTATAGAAGATTCCTTCTGCTCTTCTGCAAGTCTTACATCTTACGTGTACTGCGCTGCTGTGTGGCATACCTACAGACTCTTTTATTTGTGAAATTACTTAACCACACGCACACTCGGAGATCAAAGGAGCATGTCTGGGTGACAAGGGAGTCTTTTCCTATACTCGAAGATTCCTTCAAAAACCAACAAAAAAAGCCAAAACAAAAATAAAACCCCAAATGAAAATAGAAAACTCCGCGAGATACTCATATGAAGTTACTCTGACTTGGGTCGACATGGCTTATCAGAAGAGTGCATGCCAGGCAAATTCAGGGTGGCTTTTTTCTCAGGATCTGGAAGCGTGAGAGTTTCCGGAGCAGACTTTTTCCGGGGCCGATCTCTGGGAACGGACAGGAATTCGGGCGCGTCTGTGGACAGGGGTGTGGACGGCGCGCTGGACGGCGCGCTGCGCACGGAGGAGGGTAGCAGGGAGATGCTGGAGATAGAAATCGCGGGGGGGAAAGCGCCGATCTTCTTGTTGGTGGCTTCCTGAGTGGCTCGTTCGAATTCTCGGACTTCATCCATTGTCATGTCTTCAAAGGGACAAACAGAAAGAAAAAAACAAGCTGTTATTTACAAGGATACAGATGGATTGGGCACTATAGTTTAAGTCAAAGGAGCTACGGGCAGCTTATCATTGAAAGGCTCTAGGAATTCCTTCTTCTAGAGGCGTGCCTCTGGACACCAACTGCCCTGTGAACACCTACCCAAGAGTTCCCCTAAACACTCCAGAGTGAGTACTTTAAACATTCTGAATAAAGTCTTCACTAGGAGAGGGTAGAACCAGACCCGGGAAGTGTGTGTGAGTGTTTTGTTGCTGTTCGCGGCATGGTGTGTGATACATGGGGCTACTACTAGCCCTGGTCATCTCTTTCCTAAGGAGAAGGTCATTCAGGCAATCCATGGCTCTGCAATGATACGTATTTCCATATCATTGCTGACTTTAGATCCCAGATGATACCTCTGCAGGATACAATCAGACAGATCAGCAGCATTTTGTGACACGCTGCCTTTTTCTGCAGTGAATTACTTTTTGCCTTCTAAAGGGGCACCAACATTCTCCTGGTTCTGGTTTCCTGATTGTGTATTCTCCCCGAGCTTGTTCAGATGCTGTGTTTTAATTCATCTTAGAAGACGATAACAACCATCGACTCTGATAGCTACCCCCGAAGCCAAGAAAATAAAACCATTTCTCAAGGCAACTTGAAAGAAAAATAGAGAACGAAAAGAGAGGACCATGTAATGAGTGAGAATTTTTCAAGAGGAAAAAAAAGAAGCATTATTTAGCATTCAACAAGTAAATCAGTAATGCCTCTTGTAATAGGCGTTGCCAGATCATGTAGGTTTTCCAAATACCTACAATGTTTTTAAATGAGAGAATAAAAACATTTATTTATTTATTTAGTCTTTTTGAGACAGGGTCTCGCTATGCAGTTCAGGGTGGCCTTGAGCTCACTTTGTAGCCCAGGCTGGCTTCAACTTCACAATGATCCTCCTGCCTCAGCCTCCCGAGTGCTGGGATTACAGGAGCGCGCCACCATGCCTGGCTTAAAAACATTTAAAAACTGTATCTTTCCTTAGTATATTTAGCTAGTTTTATATATATATATATATATATATATATATA